GCCATCCAAACACATCAATAATTAACTTGGATGTATCAGTTTAAAATGAATCACCCTGTATATCTTTAATGTTTGTAAGCGTGTGCTTAGTATATTGCCGTCGGGTCGGCCCTAAAGATAGTCGTGCCATATTATAAATTACATATATACTCGTATATATATATATATATATATATATATATAAATACACCACCGCCTGTTTCTACCCGATTGCTACTGCTGTCGCTACCCACCGAGATCTAACCCCTACTAACCCAACAATACACATACACGCCAGTTTTATAATTCCCCAGGGAAAATACGAAGAAGACTTTATCAAATAAAATGCAAAAAAACGCTAGTTTCAATACACACATACACACCATGCAGGCATGGATCTAGAGTAAAAACATTTAGAAGGGATCATTCATTTAAAATTTAATCCACAATTTTTCTCTTGAATATTATTTAATCTTATTTTTTTAGAATACTATATAATTTTTTTATTAATACTATTTTGAATAAAAACTTTATAAAAGGTATATATGGCAATACTGAAAAATGAAAAAATGGAGTGTGTGCTTTGCTGTAAAACCTTAGCTCAGTTTCTGTACTGACTCGAGCACGGCGCCCAACTTATATATTTATATGTTTGTATGTATTTGCTACACAATAAGACGTAATTTAATATAGTACACTCACGAATCGTTTGATAAGAATGCGTTTCATACTATCATATTAACGGTTTTATTTTCTGTCGGAAAAAATGGAAAACTTTAAGTTCTTTGGATTTCGACGTGCACAGTTACGGCAGAACAATAATATACGTCATGTTGACGAGCTTGGTTATAACCACCGCCGTACACGTACAACTCGCATTACAGTGGCGTTTAGCGTAGTGTGCCCAAACAACCACGCCATTACGCGTAAACGTATTACATATTATATTATATTAAAGTATATGTTGTATCAACCCGATCGACCAACGACTGCTGTACAACCGTCGAAGGATTTAAATTCGAAACGTTTATATGTAACAATCACGCGCGCTTTCGCTATGTATTACTGCATTATGTAATCATATAGATTTTTATTGTAGTCTGTGGAAACTAAAAAAAAAAATAAATAAATCCTTCTAAATGCACAAGAGCTTTGTTAAATTTTCACCAATTACTAAACACATTCGTATAAGTTAAAATGAAAAACTGCTCAGTGGGCACATATTTTATGGAAATTATAACAGATTTGACATGTAATTTTTTATTTTAAACAGTAAATCTTTATAAAAGAGAGACAGCTACTTGCATATAAGCGCACTCACATATAATCCAAATATTTCAAAACTAAAAATTAAATTAAAATAAAAGATTTTGTCAAAATCGTGCTTGAAAACTCTTATGTATTTTAAATGTATTTGGTTTGCAAAATTATGATCTACTCAAGCATATAATGCATTATTATATAATATATAATGACTACATATACAGGAATTTATAACAAAAGGACCGCCCTTTCGAAGCGACATTACGTTTAAATCAAGGTAAATATAACATATTTTACACAATTAAATATTGAGTATACGGTATAAATATTGATTATTTGTAAAAGAAAACGAGTTTTACATATAAATAATAATTGACAATTTTTCCAATAACAAGGCAGATAAAGTATACCCAGATTCTTATTTGTTTATTGTAGATTGTATTACATACATTCTCATAGTGTTATGTTTGTATAATAAAAATTTTTAGATTCTTAATAACTTAATTTTAATAAAAAAAAGTTGATAAAGTTACTAAAAGTCACTTATAAAAATACTTATATTTATTTTTCTTTTATTATTATAGTGCATTTTTTCTATTTAAACATGTACTTGAAAGTTTTTTTATAATTTTTTATCCATCTACAATTTTACCAACCTAATGTACAGAAATAATTGCAAGTAGTAAGTCATAGAAAGCTTGAACTTTAATTTTTTTCTAAAAAATGCACAATTTAACTTGAAATAATGGTGTGAATACGATTTAAATATTTTGAGCAATATTTTCAACTAGGTGCTTAAAGTACGTTCTATTCATGCCCATAGCCATGGTAAAAGGATATTTAAAATATAATTTTGCGGTACTGCGCAGATAAGAACCACAGGGCACAAACACGTGTTCTAACGTAAAAAAAAATATATTATCAAGAAAATGTATATATTTTGATGTGTGTCGTTTTCTCGCGGTATAAATTAAAATAGCGGTCTCGCCAAACAATATAAAATACACAATGTGCAGTATTGTACCTATAATTTGATCGTATTAATGATAAATAACAACATAACAATATGCGCACGACACTGTACAATATATTATTAATGCATACACATTGACGTTCGAGTATATCGTGTGTAAATCGTAAATTATTTTAATAACGAGGGTTATATCAAATAATTATTAACGAATAATATAGGTATTAAAAATAATCGTTTCGGGCCAGTCGCGTGATATATTCGTATACCTAAAACTATAACGATTCGAGTAAAACGATATTATAACCGTTTACGGTCAGCCGTCAATTATTATTATTATTGTACACTGTGACGCAGGGAAAAACGTAAATCTGACCCCTAATGCAGTCAACACATCGGTCGTGACTATTTACGACACGGCGGCGATGGCGACGAGGCGTGAGTATAACATGTAACTAGTTACTACGTAAGAACACACATAATCACGTTCGTTATGTTCCCCCCTTGGGAAATAACTATCACAGGTCCGATTCTTCGTATATTACACACTCCGCTGGAGATAGCGTTGTTTTCCGAGTATTTATTTAGTTTGGACTCTTGTTGTTATAATAATAATAATAATAATAATAATAATAATAATAATAATAATAATAGTAATAATAATGCAAAAATAAAAACACCAACAGACCCGCACGAATAATATAACGCGCGTTCTCGCGTGACGCAGACAATTCGACTGTTTGCCGAAATTAAACGGGGTTGAAAACATCGTGCGAATAAAATAATTAATTCCGACGAGAAATTTTTGACGTGCCGATGAAGTCGAATACGCCGCGCCGTCTGAGCCCCGACAAGCGCGAACCGATTGCAAGAGGGGTTTATTCGATGTATCCGCAAAGTGGAGTTATTATGGCGCACCTACTATGTTGTATTACAATAATAAAATATTATTATTTTCTTTAATTCCGTGTCAACTGACGGGCGAAAATATTATCCCAAACGTTGCGAAAATAATACCCGTAATATTATGTTACCGCGCGCACATATATATGATAATAATATCTACGTATGTACTCGTATGATTTTAAGAGAACGTAATACGCCCCGCGCCGTTTAAATTAAAATTATATATGATTAGCGGTATGTATATTTAATGAATTATCTCGTATTGTATTATACATCGCCTTTGCCCACGGGACGTTAAATTTATCAATAAATAAATAAATGAATGTGTTTATACAACACCTACGTTGTGTAGTAAAATAATATAATAATATAATACGCGATAACTTCCGCTACTACAGTGTCTGCCATCACTTTTTCGATGGAATAATTTCAATTATTAAATTACATACCAATGTATTCCAATCGGTTACAAAAATGCTGATCGATTTTAAACGAATATAAATGTAAATTTTTTGCTTCACGCACACACAAAGTATATGATCCGCTACGATTTTCCAGTTTTCTCATTAAAATTCTAAAAATAGTAGTGCAAATTCTTGCTAATGGTACATAAATTATTTATGTTTTTTTTTTCCAAAGTTCAATCGTAATCTCCTTCCTCTCCCGGATATTATAAGTAAATTAAAATTTATACTAATATGCCAAAACACAAAATCGTGGTACAGCGTCTATTTAAATAATAACAATAATTACTATAATGTTTTTAGTTCAAATTGAAATCATTATTATTTATTTAATTCGAAATCCGTATTGTGCACGGGTTCCTCTGGTCCGTATGCAAAAATATTACAAGTTTAGGTCATTTGATGTTAATTAAATATTATATGTACAGTAAAACTTTGAGTGTCCTCTGCGTATTGCATACAGGCGTGCAACTCAAATGCTTTCTTGCAGAGCAATGATAACACTGCGTATTGTAATTAAAATTGTTTCCCAAGTCTGGAGTTAAAGTAGGTATATAATATATATTTAGATCATGATGACTAACTGGTCGTGACTCGTGGATGTCGTAAATAGGTATAGTTATTTACTTTCGAACGTCGTGTACTTGAGCTCGTTTACACATAGTACATATTATAAATTATACATATAAACTATGTAGAGAATGATTGTTTTATCGTAGAACACAATTCGATATTTGGATAGCACGAGATTGTTACCGGTCGGAAGTTGGATAACATCTAAGGTCAAGTCAGACGATAGATAAATTCATAAATGATTTGAGGTTAGGTTCAGGTCAAGTTGGCATATCATTATCTATACATAACATTTTCCAAATATCGAGTTATAAAATATGTACAACAATAATATTACCGAGGCGGTGGTGGCTATACGAATATTCGAAGAACGACGACGACGACGACGGCCCCGCGACCATACATAATTTATATATTATATTGCAGTAACACCCTTCAAAACTTTGCAGGGACCGCGTGCGTTTCGTGTAACACATTGTTCTAAAGTCTGGTGATAAAAAATGCTCTTTTCGAAGGGGAAAAAAATTAGCGCTTTGCACTTCTATAGGGTTCACGTTATCTATCATCATCTAAGTGTTCCGAGGCTATTATACCGTCCGTCGGACACCAACGTTTAGCGAACGGGAAAGCTTACTGTAATATAATGGTGAGTAAGTATCTAAAGCATGGCAGGATTTTTTTTCACGATTACACTATTTTTTAATTTTTTTGTTTTAGTTTTTCCAGTTTTCGTGCTCAAGACCAACACTATTTAAAATACGTGCATATAAACATGTAATACGGTGCGCATCGTCGTGGAGATCGTTGAAAACGAATGTTTTAATTGCTATTTTACAGGTACTCACTTTGTTTTTCCAACACTTCGGCCGACTCTTCGCCTTCTTCGTCACTTTCATCGCCGTCGTCGTCGTCGTCATTTTCATCGTCATCATCGTCGCCTCCGTTGTCTTCCACGTCTACATCCGATTCTTGCACGTACTCATCGCCGGGTTTGACTGTCGGCAGTGGCAGAGTACCATCGTCAGTCACCGACAACTGCGTATTACTGCCATGAAGTTCCTGAAGCCTATGATGCCGCGATTTCTGAAACACGAAAAATATCCGCTATAATTTATATGTTATTTGTAACTGTTGAGCTATCATAGTTAAACAATAGTGACTTTTTAATAATAATAAAAAAAAAAATAGATGTTCCAGCGGCATAATACCTGCAGACAGGGTTAGATTTAAAGAAAGACCCATTTATTTGAATACCATAGATACTCGTAGCAAGAAAAAATGATGAAAATCGATGAAAAAGCAATACAAAAACGCTTGATTAAAAGCGTAATGGTGTAATATACCCAATTGCTTAACAAATGATTTTAGAAAAAAAAAATTAAAACAAGTTTCTATTGAAGGAAATCACTAAAGCAGGTCATATGTGCAGGTTTTATACGTTTTTGTGACATTTTTGAGACTTCCTAGACTATACTTGTATAAACTATGTATTAATTTTCTATGAAAACGCGTTTATAATAAAATAGTAATCAACGTTTAGGATTAAAAACAAAACATTATTGTTGGTTAATGGACTTTAACGTTATCTTCCATGCCAAAATTAAAATCTAATTAATTTATATATCCTGTGGTTTTGGATTTAATTCTTTTAATCTTCAATCATGGTCAATATATAAATATAATTAAATATTTAAAAAAATCTCCTTATAAATTACAATAATTTAATGCATAATTAACCTGCTGGATATTCGTTCGAGAGGAATGAAGTTATATTTAATTTCAATGGGTACAATATAAATATTAACTTTCCGTTTAGACTGAACAAATTCATATATATTTATAGCCGCTTAGAATTAATTAAAATTAAGCATCTCTTTTGGAAACCTTAATAATCATTCAGGTTGTTCAACCAAAAGCAGCTGAAAACAAAGAAATCGAAATGCGAGACTATTATCCAAAAGTCAAATATAGAGTGTAATAAAATTTATAATTTCGTCACGAACTTTAATGGCCAATAAAACTTAAACTTAAAATTCTTTTTCGTCTCTCCCCCCTCCTCTCTCATTTAATATATTAAAATTTAGTTAATTTAATCATTTAAACGAAATACCTTTACATTTGTTATTATGTTCTAACTAATAAACTCTAAACTACATCCGTTTTATACTTAGATTAGTGGATGGTATTAAGCTAGAATTCTATCCTCCAATTACGTCTATACATTCATCAAAATACATTATTCATATAATTAACATATATATTTTGTTTAATTTTTACAATAATTTATAATCACTCAGATAAAAATACAGAGTTACAGATTAACAATATGTATTATACTTAAACCTATGTTTGAATTTTAAAATGCATATTATATTGATGTACAGCCGCAAATTATAAGATCAAATTAATTATTGTTCGTTTGCTTTGAATGTATTAAAAATTAATAATAATATATACAGGTAGTATAATTTAATACAGTTTTTAGAACTATTATTATGAAGGTATGGTATAAGTGAATAATTTAAATCCATTACAATAACTCGTCAATTTTAAATAAAACACCTAAAATCGATATTTTAATGTTGTGCGCGTCTAATACAATATGTAAAGCTTATAGATACGCGTATAATAATACATTTTAACATAAACTATATTATGCGAGACACAGTAAGTGCTAATTATATATACAAATACTTATACATATACATCGAGGAATATATGTATGTCGATACCAAATACGCATACCAAATACATAACTGGGATATTGGACATCTGGTTAATGGTTAATATAATATTATTATACAAACTAAACATATAATATAATAATATTAGCAGATATACATCGGAAGGTGATAGTAATCGTTTATGAAGTGTCTATAAGTGTATAATATATCACACATCGACGATTGACAGTTTAGGAATATATTACGTATAATACAATATATATTATGGGGAATATAATATAATAAATCATTAAAACAGGAACAATATAATAATGATTATGAATTTGATTGTCAAAAACAGCGGCGTATTATTATTTCAAATGCCAAGCGGATTAAAATAGAGTGCACTTCGATGATGCGTCCCGCGATAGTTTTACTAAACATAACAGTCGTATAACTATGAAATCATTAAATATGGCATGTTGTATAATCACATTGTTATTATGACGTATATATCATGTATTTAAATTGGCATAATGTGAATAAAAGGCAATACTTATAATAATCGAGAATGTTGAATTTTACAATATTTATCCACTTATCATTTTTTAGAATTAGTGAATTACACATTTAGATAATTATTTTATCAATATCGGTTAGAGAAATACAAATTTTATTTTCACAAAATATTTAAAATAAAGTGTTGATCACACAGTTACGTGCACCTGAGTAGAATGTAACGGCAAAGATAATGTGCTGATAAAATGATAGGACTGAAAGAATAACGAATGAGCATGAGTACCTATATAGTCTATAATAATATATTATTAGGTATAGACGATTTTCAGAAAGAATATTGTAGTGTGACTGTGACAGAATTCGAAAATAAAATGTAAATATTATAGAACCGTATTGGCAGATCAAGTGATCAATTGCAAAGACTGCTGATAAAAGTAATCGTGGACGCGTGGGAATGCGGAGAAAAGTGTGACTTGAATATTACAATTTATAATGTAACGTATATATTATGTATAAACTCGATATGATAAAATTCGTCACGTGTGTGAATTTTGAACCAGAAAAAAAAAACGAAAACCGATCGATGTAAAGCACTGTGACTTTTTGTGATGGCTGATGACCAAAGATCTTTAAGTAAAAAGTTAAAATATTTCAACTTCCACCGATGCAAATTAATCATATAGGAAATATGTAGTCAAATATCAGAGGGGAAGCTTAAATTTTTAAAGTTATCATTTAAACATGCAAACAAATTTACATAACCAAACAATGCTTTTAATTGTTTTCCAGTTAAAAATATTACCATTATAAAACATAAATGGTAGTTCACATTAGTCAAACTCTCGAACAAATTTATTCTTTTACAATAGTAACAAATCAAAAATGTTTTAAAGTTTTTATTCAACACATATTTTAATAAAATCAATTGTTTGGTGGGTTAAACAAAGATAAAAAACTTACTAAATAGTTTTCTAAAACTATTGTCATAGACTATATTATTATCCTTGTAGAACATAAAGTTTGATAACTGAGAATCCATTCAATTTAATTTTAATTTATACATTGTATAACATCGAGGTTTTAAAAAAATACACAATAAAAAGTTCTATTCTTATTTAAAGAAAGAAAAAGTTTGCACAGCCAAAAGATACTCCTTTAATCACTGATTAGATTAAGTCATGAATATCATGGTGTGCCGCTAGCTCTGTTAATTGTTTTTTTTTAAATCTGAAAACATTAAATCATTCGCATAACTTTGAATGAATTATCATAGTATTCCATGAGATAATCAAGAGATGCGCAATTAAATTTCTATTGAATATTCTATTTATAGTTATATATACAATATACACGTATGTAGTACTTTCTCGTATTATAAATATTATCCCGAATTCGATGAAAAATTTAAGGCCTTATTATATCTGTAATTTAACTGAACGTTACACGTTAAAGAGAATTTTGGTGTGCCGTGATAATTTTGTGATGGATAAAATGAACCATTTATTTTTTTTCGAAGGCATTGAAATAGCCATTTCCTTCTAATAGTATAAGAAAATCAGATTATTTGATAAATTTAATCTTTAAGCATACTTAAAGTTCCAAAAATCAGAATTTGAAGAAATACATAATTAAAGTCGAAAATGAGGTTAAGCAAAATTGGTGAATCATTCTGTTTATATAATATAAATGTATCATGTACCACAACGAAATCCCATTCGTTCGAAACCTTAATTTCCGCGTAATTGATTATTCGCAAACATAATCAAATCTCGTCGAGTAGGTAGGCACTGGAAACAACGCCAAGCACAGAAACAACTCAAGCGTAGTATAAACACCAAGAAACCGCTTGTTGTTGTCATCGTCAGACAATAATACAATGATAATATTATTATATATTGTATGCGTCATATTAGTGGTATTCACAAGTTCAAATAGCATTTCAAATTTGGAGAGGGATGACGAGGAATGGCTTGTGTTCGGTCTGATACATCATGAGTGAATGCAGGAACATAAATAATTAAAAATAATTAAAAATCGATCACTATATTTTATGAGTAGCTATACACTTTTTTTTAGCAAAAAATTAAATTAATATACGAGTATTAGCATAGTTTATAAATTATGATAGAATCCAGTATAATGTTCAAAAAACAAAAATAATATAATGAAATGATAGGCATGGCTATTGAAATTTTATCAAGTTATATGTAGATATTTACATAAAAACATAATAATTAAGAATAATACGTAATGCTACCTCTGCAGATAAATTCCCGAAATGTTGATCATTTTATATAATATTATCTTAATTAATAAAAGAAAGATATTTTTTCATCTGGGTAGGAAGAGGTTATAAGCACTTATAACTATTATAGCTACTTTGTTTTGTACATAAAATTTTCATTTTTTTAAGAAATATTTTGATGGACTATTTTTAATTTGTGAAGTGGGAAGGCTTAAGCCACCAAAGCTCCAATTTGTGTAATTGTATCTATGGTCATGGTATACAAGATAACCGCATTTTGCATAGATATTATTCGATATAGTATAAGAACTAAAAAATATTTTATATAAGTAAATCAATAATTAATTTATGTAATGAAATGGTATATTTTATTTTTATATGTACTTATTGTGTGTATTATGTTTTGTTGTTAAACCTACAACAAATTAGCCTTAAAACTTAAGACGATTTAACTTTTTGAAAACACTACAAGTGAGTCTTTTTCTCGAGAGAGAGGTAGATATTTTATTTGTATTGTTGTATTTACAAATAAACATTTTTTTAAAATTTCATAGAGATATTATATAAATTGTCTAATAACGTTTTTAAACCTGTAAAGCACAAATAAATCAATAGATGCATAATACACGAAATGGACTCCGATGGACATGCGAACA